TTTTCGTGTTTTTTTTTGCTGTATGCACGATTGCCCTCCGTGGGGGTCATTTCCGGTTAACAACTCGGTCCGCGACCACTCGGGTGGTGCAAGCCCGGCCGCGGCTCGCGCGCCCCGCCAGGCCGCCGGGCCGCCACCGCGGTGCGCCCGGATTCTCGAAAAACCATCGAGGCAGATAAAGGGAAATAGAATAACGCGCGGCGAAAAAACGGCGAAACGGCGCGGGGCTTCCGTCCTATCCGTCGGTTGGCGGCGGCGCGGCGGCCGGGGCAAGGTGGCGGACGGCGCCCCGGTGATGTAGCGACCCGACGTCCGGCCCGCGCCCCGCTGCAGACCCGGAGTCCTGCAGCTCCCCGCGCCAGGGCGGCACTGCACTGTGTGGCGCTGCAGCTGCACTTTGTCTGCGCGACGCGTTGGCGGACAGGTGGGATCGCCGCGGCGGGGGCCGACGGGGGCCGACGGGGCGGGGAGGGAAGTCCAGCGACGCGGAGCCTCGCCGGCGCCGGCGGTCCTTCGGCTCGGCTCCCGGTCCCAGACGGCCGGCCGGCGGCGGGCCGGCGACAAAAGGACGTCCCGCTCGCTTCCGAGAAGGGCGAGAACTAGCCACGCGTAGCCGCCATGACGACACCTTGGGTGGGTCGCGCCGTCCACCGGCAGCCGGGCCGCGTTACAAAAATAAAATCGGGTTTCGAATCGCAGGAAAAACGGAAGCTCACAGCGCAGTGCGGTCCGGCGGCTCGACCGGCTCCAGCTCGCTGCCAGCTTCGCCAGCTTCCACGAAGCGTCGCCGCGTTTTGTTCTATCTGATGCCGGGTCAGCATGATCCGAGTCCATTATTGCCCGCGCTGCCCGCGCCGCAGAGTTCGCCGTGTTTTTTTTTTCGGTCACGGCCTGCGGCGGACTGATTCCGAGAGTCGTTTTCGTCGCTCTGTCTCTCTCGCACCCACAGTGGATGCCCCATGAGTGCGAGAGAGACAGAGCGACGAAAATGCCTCTCGGAATCAGTCTGCCGCGCGGCCCGGTGGGGCATTAGAGGGAGAGGCGCCCGGAGCCCGGCCGGAGTCCGGAGTGCACACACGCGTCCCGCGCGCCCCGGAGGACTCCGGGAGGACTCCCGCATTCCCGGCCGCATGACCAGGGCACTCTTGGTGATAGCGCCGGACCGTGGCCCGGCCAGGTCGCCGATAAGAGGACGGGCCGCCGCCGGACGACGCCGGCCAGGAGCCTAAAAGCCGCGTGTCCCGGAGATTTCGGGCACGAAACAAGAAGCAGAGGACGACACGCCGAGTACGACCACGCGCTGATACGGCGACAGCCACCAACAAAGCCCCCTGATACGGCGGCCGTCCGGCGCGGGTTCGAGTACGGGCGGTGCCACCTCGTTTCTCTCGTTTTTGTTGTTTTATTTTCTGCACGGCAACAGAGCGAGTGTGTGTGTGTTGCACGCGGCGAATGGCTCCTGTTCGTCCGTGCAATCGTCTCGTTCATCTCTTCCTCCTCGACTCGCCAGTCTCGCCAGACTCGCCCAGGCTCGCCTAGTTTCCATAATTACGCCGCGCCGCTGCTCGTGTGAACACGTTGGTTTGACGAACTCCCTTCCCGCCCATTGTGCTCGCCGTGGCGGGGCGGGGTGGGGCGCGGCGGGGCGCGGCGGGGCGTCGCGGTCAGGTCCGGACCCATATGGGGCCGCGGGACCGCGCCTCGCGCCGTGCGCCGAGCAGGCCTAGGAGGCCAGGGGGCAATTTTACTCTTTCTTTCCCGTTCGGCCGGCCGGAGCGTGGCGTCGCGGTGACGAACCGAACGTTTCGAATTGACGTGCGGTCCGCGCGCCTCTTTTGGATGATTTATCTCGGGGCCTCACCGCCTGCTTGACCCCGAGGTGGCCGAGGGCTGCGCTGGCTGGCTGCGGTCCGCGGCGCCGCCACGACCGCCCCGCCGCAGCACCGCGGCACCGCCCGGCCCGATCCCAATTAACCCCGAAAGCCCCGCGTCACTCAGCCAGGACGCCGCCAGGACGCCGCCATGGAAACGGCGCGGCCCCGCGACCCCCGCCACGCCACGCCACGTGGACCAACTGTTGAATCGCTCCGCTCCGCTCGGTGTAGTACCTGTCCGCGGCTCCGCGGCACTGTGCACGTTGTTGGCGGACGTTGGCGGTAGGATTCTAGGATGTGGGAGTCACTGAGCCCTGTCTGGTTTTGCTCCTTGCAGCGCTGGCAGCGTGATCGGCGCGGTGTCCACACCAAGCTCAGGATGGAGACGCTCAGCGAGACGCAAGCCGTGCCCGCTGCACTGCCGGCTCTGCCGGCTCTGCCCCGCGAGGCCCAGGGCACCCAGGGCCCCGGCCCGGGGTCAGGGCCTTCGGGGCCAGGTCCGGGCGGACTGGGCGCCCCACTGGGTGCCCCGCTGGGTGCCCTCGGACCGCTGGCGCCCCTGGGCCCCCCGGGGGCGCCGCTCGGGGCCACCCTCGGGGCCGCGCTCGGGGCGTCGCTCGGGGCGCTCGCTCCGCGGGCCGCGTCCCCGCCGCCCGCCAGCCGCCGGCCCAGCGAGCCCCGCGTAAACTGCCGAATCAAAGCAGGTCGGCCACACTTCATTTTTACTTACTTATTCCTCTTTCTTGTTCTCGCCGCTCCGCCTCGGCCTGCCTCTGCCTGTTGTGCATGGGTGCTGTGTAGTGGACGTAGTGGACTGCTGCTGTGCTTGGCGGGCTTCGCGGTGCTTGGTCTGTGCGCTTTGCTGCGCTTTGTCGGGCTGGTGCTGGTTGGGGTGGTGGAGGTGGTGATGGTCGTGGTGCATGCTTGTCTTGTTGCAGCCGCAATGCACGCCGACGCGGACCCCTCTTACTTCGTATACCCGTGTAATTTGTGCAGTACGGTGCGCTGCGTTTCGCGGCGGCAGGGGCAGGCTCTGCCTGCCTTTGCCTGCTTTGGCCATTCACGACGCGGGAACCGTCGGGAACCGGTTGCTGCTGCGGCTTGCTGGCGTCGCAGCGGCGCGCCGCGTCGCGGTAGTGTCATCCGCACGAAGTCTATTACCGACAGAACGCAAATCAAATTGAAATAGCAGACGACGCAGGGCGTGGCGCGGCGTGGCGCGGCGTTGCGTCGGCCTGTGGCTGCGTGCGGCGCGCGTGTCGTCACGCCGCGGCGAGGTGCAGCACGGCCCCCACCACCACCACCACACTGTCACCACCACGACGAGCTTTCGTTTCTCCGCACGATGTAAATACTGCAGCGGGAAAAGCTTTTCGGCCGTCCCTAGACCGCGGCCGCGGCCCTGTGTCCGGGGGCCGAAGTGGCCGATCTGCATGCGAGACAAGGGCAAGGACCGCGGGGGGCGTCGCCGCGTCGCCGCCATGGCCGTCGAGGGGCCTAAGTGGTCCGGTCAGCCCGATACGGCCAATCCGCGGCCGTCTGCCGGCGAGCTGGCTAGGCTGGCGAAGCTTGGCGGAGCCTGGCGAAGCCATGGGCCAGTGGTCGTCGAAATCGGGCGCGCCGAATCGGTAAGAGGAGATGGCCGGAACGCCCCGCCACACCCCACCCCGCCACACCCCACCTCACCCCACCCCGCCCCGCCACGTCCCGGCGTCGTCCCGACGGCGGCACGGTCAACTTGGGACGAGCAGCATCAAGCACCAGCGCCCACGAGAAGAGCGACTCTTTTTTTTCAATTCCGGACAAGTTTGCGGACGTGAGCAGACGCCACCATCAGGTGGAGGGGGTGGATCCGGGGGCGGCTCCGGGGGGAGGGGGAGGGGGGTGACGCCGGACAGAAGCGGGTCCTGTGCACGGCCCAGTGGCGCTGCACTGCCGCCCATGCTGCTTCGCTGCTTCTCGTCGCCAAAGTCCCAAAACGCTCAAGCGACCACGGTGGCTGCGGCGGCGCGAAAAAATGGCGGAAGGAGTGAGTAGCCGCGACAGAGGAAAAAGAGAGGGGGGAGGGGGGGGGGCGATGACAAACGTCTGACTTTTTCGACAGAACAAAAGGTTTCTCTGCAGCACTGGCTGCTTGTGCTGGGCGAGGGTGACCGGTTGGTCGCACCGCTGAGCCGCGGCGTGGCGCGGCGTGGCGTGTGACGCGGACTGTCGACGCGAAATCCATCACAGCGCGACGCCGTGCCGTGCTTTATGGAGGAAGAAGTGGGGGGGGGGGAGTCCGCCAAGGGGTTGTTGGGATTGTCCGGAAGTCCGCGGTGGGGCAAGAAGGGCTGCCCAAGGGAACCATGACCCTTGCCGCGGTGGCGCCGCCGCGCGGACGCGACGTGGACCACAGTCGGGAACGTGAGGGGGTTCCGCGGAACACCGAGAGGGCCCCGGGAGTCAGGCACCACGTCGTCAGCCTTCTTCGCGTCGTGTCAGGCGGCCCCACCGCGGTGTGCCACTCGTCGGCGTGGAGGGGGCCGCGCCGGCCTCCCGGGCGTCGATGATAGTGGATCGAGAGCGGTTCTAATTGGTATGCACGTACAGTGTAGGCGCTGGGCCGGCGTCGCTCGGACAGCCGGACAGCCAATGGGCGGCGCTGGCCGCGGGCAGCCGGCCGGCCGATGTGCTGATTGGTCGCCGAGGCGCGGCGTGGCGCGGTGCGGCGTGGCGCGGCGCGGCCGACGTTAGGCCCCAGTAGCTCCGCGGCCGCGTGGTCGGCGTGCTCGCGTCCCTGGAAGCATGAGTGACGCGCGGTCCGAACCGGTTGGCGGTGCGTGGGCACTGTGGGCAGCCCGTGGGGCAGCGTGCCCGCCGCCCCGCCGCACTGCACGCCGTCAAGCCGCGTCTAATGAGATCTAAATCGGAGAATGTCGAGTTGACCTGCGCCACGTCCTCGCGCTGGTGCGGACGGCGGCACGGCGGCCAGGCTTAGCGATAACGCCCCTCGTCCTGAAGGGCGTTGAGGACGACCGGCGGGGCGGCAGGCACCGCGCAGTGCCCTTCAACCGTACCGCGGCTGGCTTGCTGACGGTGGCGGTGTTTGGTGTCCAGGATTTAACTTTGTTTTTCTCCCGACAGGTATGGAGGGCGCTACGGAGGACGACGAACTCAAGACGTACTGCGAGAAAATTCAGAAGCTGGACGTGAGCTCAACTAAGATTGAAGGTGAATTTTTGTATTTTTATTTTTTCTTTAACGATCTAACCTGATCGCTCACTAACACTCGTCGCGCGTGAAAATTGGCGCGTTTCCCGTCATTTCGATACCGAGGAGCGAACAGCGGACCGTTGCGGCGTGTGTACTGATCGTTATAGCAGTGCGCTGTCCAGTGCGCTGACCTGATCGCTGGAAGACCGGTGCCGTGCCGTTACTGTGACTCGAAGCGTGGGCGTGGGAGCGCTCCCGGACACAGGGGGCCCGGGGCGGGGCGCGGCGGGGAGGGGGGCTTGTCCGGTCAGCGTAGCACACGGCCCTGCAACTACATGACGAGGGCAGCGCGGCGCACAGTTTCTCGCAACACATTAGTGTTATTTCTCTCTCTACAAAAAATAAAATTAGAAAACAAAAAACTTTTTTTTCGCTTTGTGACGGCGCCCTTGAGCGGCGTCTTCTTGCGTCCGCGAATCTGTACCAGCACGGGCACTCCGCGGAGGCCGAGTCGCAGGCCGAGTCGCAGGTGCAGCCGGGATTCCGCCGACGACGGCGCGCAGCGGCACAGCGGCGCAGACGTAGGTAGAGAGATGTTTAATTTTTTCCCTGCTTTTTGATCCGCGAGCGCAGTGCTCTGCACACACGTGTCCGGCGGGTTGGCACACCTGCGTGGCGTACCGGCCGCGCGCGGTCGCCATTCCAGCGTAATGCGTGCGTAGTGGTGGCCCTGCAGGCCCTGCGGAATGTGACGTCACCGCGCACACGTGGCCGCCGTGGACGGCCAAAGCGCATTTTTGCGTCGTTTTATTTGCGGAGGGCTGGCGGCACTGCCTCGGCACTGCCGCGTCGTCGGCCAGCCGGCCGGCGCGGCGGCCGTGGGAATCGCGCTGGCGGCCAAGAACGCCGAGATCTCGGCAGGTTGACGACGCCGGACTCGGCGACGGCTTGATCCGCCACCCCGGCGCGCTGTGCGCCGTGAGTCCTCCACCCGTATCAGTGGACAAAAGGATAAGGCCCATAAAACAATGGCCGCCCGGTCGGGCCGGGCGCAGCGCGGCGCAGCGCGCAGCCAGGCAGTGCCGGCCTCGCCTCAGTGTCCCAGTAATCTGGTCGTAAAGCCCGTGCAAACACCAAACCAAATAGGCCAGGCCGGGGCCGGCAACCAGGCCGACGACTGCGTGACCGCGCGCCGCCTCTGCCCCGCGGTGGTTCCGTGTCCTCGGCGCGTCATCGCGGACGCGGCGCGCCGCCCCCGTGGCCCTGGGGGCCGTTGGGGCCGAGGGGTGGTTGCCGCCCGCCGCCCTCGCGTGATGGACCGACGTGTTTGGACGGCCGTGACGAGGCGCGCGCTGTTTGTCTTCTGGCTGTAAATCTGGGCTATTTGCGCGCGATAAGAGGCAGCAGGCAGCGGGTAGGTGCTCCTGGCTGGCGTCAAGAACGTACTCGCCGCGGCGTGGCGTGTTTGAACGCGGAGGCCCCGCTGGGGGTCCTGGACGCAGGACAGGCCGGGCGACGCCGGGCGCGGCAGGCAGGCTGTAAATAAAGGACTGATAAAGCCGTGGCGCGGGCCTCGCGGCCGTCGTGCAGTCGGCCCGTCGCTCCGTCTCTCTCGCGCCCGTACGGGACGCGCCATGAGTGCAAGGGAGACAGAGCGACGAAAAGGACTCTCGGAATCAGTGTGCTGCCCCACCGGCTCTGCGGAGCGCGGAGGCCACCGTGTCGCCGTCGTGATGAAACGTGTGCAAACGAACGACGGGCCGAGCCGCGGCGCCGCGGACTACGCGTGCACGGCGTCGGCGCCCTCCCCCGCCGCACCACGCCAAGCCACGCCACGTCGCGGAGCTAATTAGAAACTTTGGACAATCGGACAATGCCAATGCCTCTGGTCCGGCCGGACTCGGCTGTCTATCTGGCCGGCGGTGCGCACCGGCGGACGCCAGCCGACTCATTCCGAGCTCGCTCTCGTCGCCCCGTCTCCCTCGCACCTCCGCGCGACGCGTCCGTCAGGCCGTCGGTGCGAGAGGGACAGAGTGACGGAAGCGCCGTTCAGCCGCCAGTCGAACTCGGCCGACAAATAACGCGCGCCACTAGCGAAAGTTTTGCGCTTAGCTCATCTGGTGGCGGCAAAAGGGACAATGGCGGGGTGGGGGGGGGGGGAGGGGAGGCACTCTTTATTACGCAGTTTGCCGGGCCGTTCGTTCATTATGTAGGGACCTGAAGCTGGGCTTGGCTCGCGTCGGCCGGTCGGCCGGTCGGCGAGGGTAGGGTCGGGACGGGAGGACATTATTTTCGTTTTGTGCTGAATATTCGAGTCCGGCGTGGCGCGGCGTGGCGCGGCGGAGTGTAGGGCCGGTGCGCGATAGCGGAAGCGGGCGTGGCCGCGCGCCCGGCGAGCAGGACCACGTAGTACACGACGGCCGACGGCACGCCGACGGCGGCGTCACCACCGCGGCGACACGGTGCCGGCACCGCGCCCGCCGGCTGCGCTTGTCACAAGGCACGGCTTTGACGGCGGCGCGGCGGCGCGGGCCCGCTATCTGCTGGACGGACACATGTGCGTCCTGTGTTGTCCGCGCTCCGCGCACGGGTACGCTACACTGTTCACCGATGCCGAAACTTTTTGACGAATAACCGCCGCGCCGCGCCTCGCGCTGGGCCGCAAGCCGAGTCATTACTGCAGCAAACGTTGTGCAGTCTGGGAGAAAGGTGCGGGGAGGGGGAGGGAGGATGTATGGAATGACCCATATCTCATCTCATTCGCGCTGGACGCCCCTCTCCCTTCTCTCTCTCTCTCTCTCTCTCTCTCTCTCTCTCTCTCTCTCTCTCTCTCTCTCTCCGCGGCGCATAAATCGCTTTGGACGTTAAATAAGGCGTCCGTCCGCCTCGGGACCTGTGTGCGCGCTGCGCTGTCTCTCTCGCACTCATGGCACGCCCCCTATGGGTGCGAGAGAGACAGAGCGACGAACGCGACCCTCGGAATCAGTCTTGCTGGGCGCTGGGCCTCCTTCGGCGAATTTAAATTGCCTCGGTGTCGTTTCCTTTTTGGTGGCACGCGGCAAACCTCGCGGCTCTGGGCTGCCTGTGCCTCTCCGTCGCCATGCAGCAGCGATACTGTACCGGCCGCTCCCCTCCCCTCGGGGCAGTACACTGGCGGGCCCCTTTTTGCGCCATGCCGCTCGGTGCGCGTCCGTCCCTGGATGGGCCTCTTCCGAGCGATTTGTCGTTCGGTCTCTCTCGCACCCGTACGGAGAGCGCTGCGAATGCGACTGCGACAGACCGATGAAACGACTCTAACGCAGCCGCCGCAGCTGTGTCGGCCCGGTGTCCTTTGAGGACCCCGAGGACCTGCTGCCGGAGTGCCGGACCCTCCCGAGGCTGGTGGCGCCATCCCGCGCCACCGCCACCGGCAGCGTCCCGTGTCGGGCGGCCCGACAGGCCCGACGCGCTCCCCCGGCCACACGCAGTCCCCCCCCCCCCCCTCCCCGGGCCAAATCGGCACGTTGCGACCAGGCCTTGCCTTGGCTTTGCCAGGGTGGGCCAGGCGATGGCATGGCGATGGCATGGCGATGGCCAGGTCAGCAAGGCCTGCTGCACTTTGCGCTCCACAGGCCGGCCAGGCCGGCGCGGTGTGGCGCGGCACAGCAAGGGCACCACCTCGTCGTAAAGCAATAAACAGGATGGCCAGCGCAGCCAGCGCAGCGCACCGACTCCAAACAGCGCTCTCGTCGCTCTGTCTCTCTCGCACTCGAGGGGCGGTCCGTTAGGGTGCGAGAGAGACAGAGACAGCCTCGCAACGGCCGGACAGGTCCGAGCGCAGGCCCGCCGCCACGCCTAGCTCGTAAAACCCCCGTAGATGCGCCGGCAGTGCCGGCACTGTGGCCGAATCCCCTTGTGTTCATTCTGCGCGTCGGCCGATATGAAAGACAAAGGCGGAGAGGCAAATTCGGCACCAAGGGACAAGTCGGCAAGTCCGAGCCGGCAGCGCAGCGCCGGCACGGCGGCCGTTGTTGGTCTTGACTGTGCAAGGCGAGCCGCCGCCGCGCCGCCGGGCTGGCTGGCTGGCTGGCTGGCTGGCTGGCTGGCTGGCCGGTCGGCCGAGCGGCGGTGTTTGTTTTGGTCCCTATTTCCGCGTTTTGACGACCGTCCGCCAAGTGGACCAGGAGGGCGACGGGGGCCGTCCCTAAATCAAGTCGCGGCCACGCGCACACTCACCTGCAGCACTACATTGTCGCGCTGAAAAAAAGAAGTGAGAGGAGAGACAAAAAACGGAGGAAGGGTTGTTGACGACCCGGAGCCATCCAACCTTTCCCGTCCCCGGCCTCATTTGCATACAACCGTGGCCGTATTTATATTCCGAAATAACGTTATCTTGTTGTTGCTGTTGTTGTTGTCGCGTGCCCCGCCGTAATTGTGATGTGTGATTTCGGCGCTCTGTGTCGCCCAGTCGGCCTGCGGACTGTGGCTCCGTCTCTCTCGCGCTCATGGGACGCCCCGTAGTGGTGCGAGAGAGACGGGGTCGGCGCAGCATGAATGGGGGCTCTGGAATGAATGATGGGCGAAAGGGGGGCATTACATATTATTCTGTCGCGGTGCGTCGGTACACCGTCAGTACGTACACGGCGCCGACGACGACCCGGGCGGCCACCGCACCGTGCCGCACCGCGCCGGCCGGTGTCCGCCAAAGTGGCGGCGGGGCCACGGCGGGCCTGGGCGGCCTGGACGCGGGCCAAAAGGGGCAGACCGAAAAGCCAAAAAGAAGCCGAGAGGCTGCTAAAGAGAGGAAGGAACGGATTCCGCAGCGAGGCTCTTTCCCTCCTCATCGCACTTTCCTCATACAGTCCGTCCCGTCGCCGCCGAGACGCAAACATTATAAAGGAGGAGGGACTCGTCAAAATCCCGGCGTGCAGCAGCAGCGGTCCGGCATGGAAAGCTACTCGTTTGTGTGTGTGTGTCTGTGTGTGCGTGTGTGTGTACGCGCGCACCTCACAGTTTTACTGCGGTGAGTACACTCTTTG